ATTAAAAAATTTTAATATTTTTTAATCCTTTTGCGTTTGCTGGGATAGTTATATTAACTAACTTTTTTTACTTTGACTTTTCTTTTTTTTAACTGCTCTTTGCCTTTTCCTCGCTTTTTCTTCTCGTTCCAAGCGTTTTCTTTCTTTTTCAGCTTCGATGATACGTTTCTTTTCTTCAGCAGCTTCGAGTCTTTTTTTTTCTTCTCTTCAGCTTCTCTTTTTTTGTTAATACTAGCTAATTCGCGATTTCTCTTTCTTTCTTCGATATCATTGTTCTTCTTAATTTTTTCTAATGCTTTCGCAGCATGATATGCCTGCCACTCTTGAGAAGTCACAACGGTCGGAATTTTTTCTTTTTTGCGTCGTTTCTTGTCATCTTTCTCGGTTGGCAATGGCCAGAAAAGGGCTTTTTGAAATGGGACGGGAACATTCTGAGGCATACAGTGACCGCTCGTCGTAGGCGGTATCATTTCGCATGCCTGTGAACTGCTTTGTCCGGCATATTCTGATGCTCCCACGAGAACGTCAGAATTAGGAGTCTGTCGCGATACTCTTCTTTCCCCTGAAATATGCATGGTTTATATGCATTCTAAAGAAAAGTTGCATAATTGTTTTGAATTATGCATTCAGTATGTGCATATGTAGTACCTATTGAAAGATCATTTTCGAGATCCACAGCTTGTGGCCCTGACGCCATCGACTGTTGTGCGATGAACTCCAAGTCGCTATTCGCCGTCCCAGCGCAGAGGTTGTGATCGCTGTCAAGATGGCACGGAAGATCCATCGGTTCATCGAGTGTGGATTGGAGTGTGGAATGTCTCTGCAATGTCCTTTCATCTTCATCTATACAAAAAAAGATTTCACGTTTGAATAAAAATCAACGGGCGCTATAGAAAATCATTCCATAAACATGGATGTACTTTTTGAAGCAGTTTCACGATCAACGAGAGTTGTCTTCTGATGCAGTGAATTGTTCGTCGCGCTTTCCAGTAGAGATGAATCGATATTGAAGATTTGATTATCGCCGGGGTTCTCAATGACTATAGTGTTTCCTTACGTTAAGGGTTTAAGCGAGAATATTTGCCATACTGTGAATCGATGTGGCTTAGAGGTCCTTCACACGATTCCTAAAAAACTCGACTCAATTATAAGGCGTGGCAAGGACAAACTGGACAACATGAAGGAAACAGGTGTGGTGTATATCGACTGCAACGATTGTAATACGTCCTACATAGGACAAACATTAACACACTTGGAAACTCGTGTGAAGGAGCATCTGAGTGACATTAAAAAAGATGAGAGCAGGCGCTCCGTAGTCAACAAACACCGATTGATGCATGGGCACGATTTCAAATGGTCCACTGCCGAAGTTTTGCATAGGGAAAAAAATGTGAGAAAGAGAGAGATAGCGGAGATGTTTTATATAAAAAAACATAACAATACGATCAATCTCCAAAAAGACACCGAGAATCTTAATCCGCTATATGACCGAATTATAAGTGCTACATAACATTTCTCTCTTTGTTTGTTTTTCTTCTGCGACCCACTCTTGTATTCTGTATTTTTAAGTAGTTCGATGCCGTCCTCTGACTTGGAACGACTGCTCTCACATGTCTCCGTTCCGGTTACCTCTTAACCCTGTGCTACATCGCATTGTTAATTCAGGATGGATCGCGGCTCTTTCATTTTAATAATTAGACAACATCGAAATCTGACAAAGTGATAAACTGCAAGAAATTCACGTGCGACTAATATGAGATAGGTATATATTTTCCGTTCCTACGCCTTTTGTTCCTCGTTGCGATATATTATTATGTAACATGACTTCGTACTCTGGATAAAGACACAAAACGAGTGTCGAAACGTCGAGGATTGAATTAATGTGAAGCGTCAGTTTGGTCAAATAATACCGCTTATTAAATTTCACTGACAAAGAAAAGAAGTTTTTAATTTTTTTTTTATAAGTGTTTTTATTTATTAATTGTTATTTTTTGCATTTAATTTAACCTGGTTTAGGCAGCAGTTGGGAGTCTTTTTTTTAAACAATTTTTTTATTGTTTAATTTTTTTATTATTATTTCTAAGTTCTTGTTTTTTGTATTTTGTTTTTTATTAATAATTTTTGTTTTTATTAAATTTTTTAAGTTTTTAATTTTGTTTTTTTAATCTGTTTTTTTACTAATTAATTTTTAAGTTTTTATTTTTTTTATTTTATTATAATTTTTGTTTACTTAATCTTTTTGCTGCAGTTGCAAGATTTTAATTATTTATTTATTTTATACTTTTAAAAGCAATATATATATTTCTATGCTATGCAGAAGCATATTTTATAATATATAAATAGTTGAAAATGTAGGTACTAGGCATAATCTAAATCTTATACACAATAGTATATGAGATTAATTATTATGACTTAAGTAATTTTCTCTATCTTTTTAGCATTTTTAATGATTTTTATTTATATATAATAAATTTAAATTTACAATTATATAAATTATATAACATGTATATATAGGGTGTTAGGTAATAAGCGGACCACTTCTCGTGGACCGGAAGAGCGAATTAAACTGAATCAAATTAAACGTCCTTTATCGTACTGTAAGTTTCTCAATAATTAATGAAAAATTAATTAATAAAAATAAGAGAATTAATCAGTGTGCATCCACATGATTTGACGAGAAGGAGCAGCCCAACGTTTACGTTACTATGTGCATAGCGAAATATTATGAGAGAGGAGTGCTTTATAAACAATAATGACAATGAGTGTCACTCATGTATAGTTAATAATTTTTGTTATAAACATTCCTCCCGATGTCTCGTCGCGGCCTAGCAACGTAAACATTGGAGTGCTCCTTCTCGTCGAGTCGCACAAACGCATCTGGATTCGCGTATCTTTATTAATTATTTTCTTATTAATTATTGAAATACTTAAAAACAGTAAGACTTTTCGATTCAGTTTTACCCGCTCTAGCTGCCCATCACGAGCGCGATAGCCCTCGCGGGTGTTGACGCAATGTGATTTCTGCCCAGTGCTCTGAATGTCAACGTGAAGAAATTCAAGCAAGCGCGGGTAAACGGTGCACCCTGTGCCCTTTACCCATAAAACTGCTGGGCTGCTGCCCAATCCCAGGTCCTATCAGCTGGGTAACGGATGCAGCCGGTAGTACTGAACAGGGTAGCGTTTCGCGAGGCGAGCGCGGCGTGCTCGTGCGTGAAAGGTGCCCAATACGAGCGGGGTATATGGCACACCACGTGCTGTATATTCCTAAGGCGCGTCGACTGCTGCCGAATCCCGGATCTCCGGGCAACCGATGAGCGACGCGTTAATAGCACGGAGCGACTTGTGCGATTACGTGGTAGCTGGGGGCATGGCACCAGCGACGGCGACTCGT